ACTACTGTTTGTTGATACTTATAACTTCCTGTTGTTACATTGGATCAAATTGTTCGAAATCTGTCAGCATATGAGCTTCTATGTGAATGAATATCTGTTATCATAGTTGAAGAAACGCGATAGGTAATACATGGAACCTGTTATAACAGATACTCACTTCATGGGGAGATAAACTCTGTCAGTTTCTATCTCCTCGTAGCAGAACTATTCCTTCCTACAAAATATTTGGATAGCACAGTTCTATAAAAATTAATATTTGTTAACACAAAATTAATCTTTGGCTGCTGAAATCACAAATAAAGATAGACCGATCAATCCCAGGAGACTACAGGCTACAACTGAAAACTAAGACTTAATAGTCTAATGAGAAGACTCTGTAGCATTTGAAGCATAGGGTGTTCGATTTAAGATTCAACAGAAATGACATTAGTCACTGGGATGCAGATGCATCCAGATGATAAGTCTCAGATGGGACGAAACGCGCATCTTGATTTCCCTGCTAACCGCTTATCAACATTACATACTTTTAAAGATAACAGGTTAAAACATTCCAACGAGATTGTACTAGACACTGCCATTACATTATTTAGGTTTCTCCATTTATGCGTACATGTGCGTAGGTGTGACTATTAGTCATACAAACGAAACTACCAATAAAAATGATGTTAACTTAGTCTATGTTAAGCCCAGCCCGAAATTATTGATATCGATTTTATGTGATTTTGAATTTGTGACTGTAACAAGTCTCATTTTACATGATAATAATGATAATGACTTGGACCATTATAATAAAATTAATGAGACGAGGCGGGCAGATAAAATGCAGGGTATATATATGATGATGAATTTTGCTTTAAATATCATGATGCATAGATCATCCACTTTCTAACAGGATCTAATCTCATTTGATATGTTTTCATTAAGTATGTACCAGAATCTAATGTGTAATGTTTGTTCTCGGGTTGACACAGCAAATGTCCAGTCAACACTTGATTTTCAGGTAATAAAAATAATAGTAATAAATTTCATGCAGACAATTTAGTTGTACAATATTTCTAAACGAAATAATTATAGCATCTGACTAATGCTAATAGCAACAGTATTGTAAGGCAATAACATGTAACAACCAGCTGTTGTTCGATTGTCGTCTAATCTGATGGAGGGGATGAATAGAAGAGATTGGACAAGTTATGTGATTGTAGTTCATCTAGCGAGAAAGTGAAACTGCCATTACTGCTAAGTATTTCAAGACTAGTTACACTAAGCGCTGTTGTAACGTTACCTATGATTTCCCGTTGCTGTACAGAGCCGAATTGCTCGTAGCTGTCAAATTTTTAGTGCTTATAACTGATCGAAGTCTGTCAATCAAGTCTTGGAATGTGGCCACCAAGTGAAGTGATACCATCCTGGGTCACACTATATTTTAGTGCTAAGTGGTAGGAGTCAGTTATTAAGAAGCCATGGGCCATGGTTTCATGCCTTTAGCCCTCATATCAGGAAGATGTACTTGTAACTATCAGGAAGATAATTCCACCTCACGGGGTTCGAACCCGCGGTCAGGGGCCTGACCATCAAGATATCACTTTGGCATTTCGTAAATCACTAAGATTAAGTATTCCTACACTACTTTCCATCTTAATGTCGATATCATACATTTCCAAGTTTCATTTGTTAAGCTTCTGTTATTGGATCCTTTCTTTTACACATACATGAACCAACAGATTCATTTATTTGGCAACCAAACAGCAGATATGTTGTGTATAACTACCCTGCTTTCTAAGAGTTGTGTTCCTCTTTGCTGTTACTATAGACTGAATAAGAATCATGATTTTATCATGCATGCAATTTATTAAAGCATAGGACAGTGATTAGAAGATAAGCACGATTGTGATATTGTGATTTTCCAAATCAGTTTTGGTAAGACTAACCACTTTCGGTGAATTTCTTTTATGTGCTAATATTTATCTTCAAATTATCTACTGAGGTGGAGTAAGATAGGTAGGCAGTGCATAGCGTGTCCAGTTTATGTTGTAAAGGAAAAAAAACAAGTGAGACTGGTTAGAAACTCATCATTTCATCTTTTCCCTTATCTTATAATTACCGCTCAGAATCATTTGTCATTTACCGACTTTCCTTTTACAACGTAAAGTAGAGGTATTGTGTAAAACAAAAAAGATTCACATCAGTATTTTCTCTTGATAAGATAACATTCTCATTTGACTTGATGAAAAGGGGACAATTTTTCGTTTAGACTAAAAATCAAATTATTTTGACTGTTGAAAATACTACAGGGTCATTTATTTGCTCAAACTACTTCATACTACTATTAAATGATATGAGTAGTTTAAAATCACCTATAGATATCCAGTAAAGCTTTTTCTGAGGTAATAAAGTTCTTTATTTCGCTTGACATAACTAGAAAAGAATGACGTGCTATAATATGAATTGTGCCTTGAAAAGTGGTTTTCATTTCATTTATATACCTGGCATCAGTTAAAATATTCACGTATTTTAGAAGAACACAACTAATGGTGATGTGAAATGAATTGGGTGGGGGGGAGGGGGGGGTTTGGTTGTAGGGATTTTTTAATTTGAAGGTGGCCTTTTATCACAGATTGATCATTCATGGCTCAAAGGTAATGTGGATTCCATGAGGTCTGATTCACCTGAGTGTCAACGCCACAGACTCTACACTAGTGAAGAGTTGGGAACTAAGACTGAACAACCACTGTTATTTTCCCCCAAGATTTCAATAGTTTTTGAAATGATATTAGACTTTGATAACAGAACGTAATATAAAAGTAATGACTATACGTTTTGTACTTAATTCGTAAAGCATGTTACTATCTATGGATCCACATATACATGTACTTAACTTTTAAAATATACTGCGACAAACATTTATCAACGTGCATTATGATGGTTGCCACATTTCAAAATAACCAATAGAGTTCAATAAGCACTAAGAAGCAGGAAATATGAAATTAGTGCAACTAATCTAGGGTTGGAACCCCCAGAAGGGACACCAGTTTCTTTTGAAGTTTCAGACACACCTTGTTGGTGAGGGCAAACAAACATGAAAACTGAAGCCGAGCAAAGTATTATGTCAATCTCCTAAATGCTAATTAATGATTGATAAACTGTTGTTTACTGCTTGGTAGTACGTGTGTATAATGTTGTTTAAGACCAGTGACATTTTATGCCATTTTCTCCGGATAGATGAAATATTCTTCAATATTTTCTTCCATTCACTATTTACTGAGTTGCGTAATCAATATATTATTCTTATTACAACTACTGAAAAACTGGTCAGAAGGTTTTACAGATAAGTATTCTTTTTTATCATACATTAGAATACCTGCAGTTTGCGAAAACTTCATGTGATCTCACATAGACTTTTTTGCATTCAGAGTTTTTCAATGAACAAAACCTTCGTGTAATATTTCTTCAGTTGCCAGTTCTTATCTCCTCATAAGCTGTTAATTTGGCGGATACATTGTAGAATGGTCTCCTGGAGTCCACTTACATTTACAACAGAAAAAATAACACCGCTATAACAGTTAACAATGCATCATCTGTAAAAATAAATTCAGACATCCACTAGAGTAACGGCTGAGAAATTTTCCTGATTTTGCTCCGTTCAGTCTCTTTTAAATAAAAGAAGGTGATTATTGTACTCTACAAGGCTAGTCAACAGTTTCCTGTTATTTTAAACAATAACTTCAAGATCCTCTTTTAAGCGAGAACATAAATATTCAATTGGACACAGTAGTACTCAACGTATGACTACGTTTACACCAGAAATCCATATTTTACATGCAAACATCACTCCCCTGTCTATCATACAACATCATTAAATTATCAAAGGATCTTTCAAGTCATCCATACAACTAGTAGAGAGGTGATGAACAGAATATAACGGAATAACCCTGTTTATATGAATAGTAGTGATAAAGCACTTTAAGCAGGCAGTATAGTGAGTAAGTCAGACGGTGGTTATTCAAGTAGAATGATTTGAATAATTTCTTTGTGTGAGCTAACTTATCCAAGGTAATCACTGCGTCTAGAGAAGTTGATGGTAAACGATTGAGACTTGATTCCTGCATATTTGGCTACCTAGTACTTACTTACTGATTAGTAATATCTATCAGAGAATCATTCTACTTGCTCTAAACTGTGTCCTAATGATGGATAGTGGCTAGCAGTGGAATCCATCACACACATTCCAGCCTATTTGGGATTTGTCAGCTTGACGTACTCGTCTGTCAATGAGTGATATTGTTCCCAGTGAGACTCAGAACCCAGAACCGACTGTTTCAAATACCCGAGAGTTATCCACTAGGCCACCAGGAGATGATAGCCACTTCTTGTGCGACAGATATAGATTTTATGTTGTTGCTTGTAATATCGCAACGTTGAATGAAGTGAGTTGATTTGTCTCCATTGTTATATGAGTTGTTGCGTGGATGCCTTGACATTGCCTGTCTTCCTAGATTCTGCTGGTAGCTACTCTCGATGAGGACTATAAAATTGGAATGGTAGGCAATAGGCCAACAGAGATCGAGGATATTTGTCCAGTCAATGATGTGAGACTGCAGGCGACGTGGTCCATGACTTACAGTGATGACTTCAAAGCAGAGAACTTTGAAGTTTTGGAGAGGAATGAAATTTGGAGACAGTTAACTATACATAAACAACATTCGTTCTTGCAGTTATTAACAGGTGTGTGCGAACTATGTTAAAACTACTATAGTGTAAGTGGTTTATGAATAGCTTTGTGCTGTTTTCATAGTTTATACATTTCTTTGTTAATCTGAGGTGTTTGTATTAGACTATATATCAATAGTCGTGATGTTTCAATGCACATTATACGGATTCTTCGAATGTCCACGTTTTCGTTTCTTTTACACCATGATTGTATCTTTCTTCTGATTGATACAATGAAATGGTTCATAAAAGTCAATAGATTTCACTCAATATCATTCAACTATTCAACTGACCTGCACATATAAACACTGGGATCTCCAGAGAGATAAAAGCATTCACCGCCATTTTGACAATAATCTTTTGCTTGAATTGGACAGTGGTTGAAAATAGGCACTAAAAAGTAGAAGGTGAAGAAATAATAAAGTGTGAAATATATAAGAACCTAAATTAAAGGAAAATTGAGTTCTTCAGCAAAGATAACGGCGAGTAAATTCATGGTCATCTTCAAAAAAAATAATTATTATTTTTCCCTTGCGTTCCCAGTGGAACATACGGATTCGGTAGCACGCCTCCATTTCACTCTCTTCTCTGTAGTCTTTTGAACCTCGCTCCACATCTTGCCACAAGCTCTCATTTCTCTCACAAGATCTCCTCCATGTCACCCTCAGATAAGACGCCCAACTCGTCGTTTCCCATTTGGATTCCACTCGATGGCCTGACTTGGCACGTGATGTCACCAATAGGCCTTCTCAGTGTATGCCCAATCCAATCCATCTTCACCTTCTTCCACTGCATATTTGTTGGCTGATGGGTTATTGGTTGCTTCGTTCTCAGAGTTTCTTGTTGCTTACTCATATTATTCTGACCATCTGATCTCCATCTTCAGTATGGAGCCAGCGTAGGCAGCTGTTGATGAATGTCTGTAGTTTGTTGGAAATGCTTATCGTGACGCGTCAAGTTTCTGAAGCATATAGGAACACTGAGTTGACGTTGGTGTTGAAAATCTGGATTTTGTTTGTTGTGTTGAGTGCAGTAGATCTCCACACTGATTTCAGATTGATGAAAGCCTGTTTTGCTGTCTTTGCGATTGTGGCTGGTTTTGACATCCTCGTCTGTGCCGCCCATAGTAGAGACGATGCTGCTTTGCCTAGGTAGGTGAAAGAGGCTACTTCCTTTAGGTTTCTCTCTGAAAAAAGTAATATCAAAGTTAAATTGATAGCGAATTTAACAAGTAAAAATTAATATTTAAGGCTACTGACCATTGAGATGGATGTTTCTTCACTTTAAAAACCAATTTCTGAGTTAGTTTTCATGGTCTGAATATCCCTGTCAGATGGTGTATTGTTCTCTCTTGGATCCATTCAGAGATTAATTATTGTTCAACTGTATTTTCATGTTGCTTTGAAATTTACATCCAGTTAGGTGTTTCCTATAGATTGATTGACGTGGACGTGGTTTTTATCATGAAGTAAAGTTAGCTAGAGAGTTATTGTGAAAACTAGGGCAGTGAGGATTCGTTTTAGCCTAGTTTGAGAGTCAGTAACAGGATGCACCAGTGAGACGGTGTTGAGTTGAGGTCAGAATGTTCAGGTTTTATGATGACCATGTTACCTATTAGTTATTCGGTAGAAACGAAACGATTTTACTTTCTTAAACTACTGTAAGTTAGTGACAGTAGTTTGTGTTTTATTGTCCACTCTGATTGTCCAGATCCTTCAGACAACCTTAAGATCCTAGAAATCCTTTACAACCAGACACTAGTCTTTATACTGGGTGATGATTAAAGGTGAAGTGGAAACTTGAACCGCAAGCGGATTCAGACCAGAGACCACCGGGTTTCGGGTTGGACAATCTACCAACTGAGCTAACTAGGAGGTTCCACCGGTGAGCAGGCTTTTTATTTCACTCCAATCACGAAGGATTTCACTGGACTGTTATGTGAATTTGAGACGCGTTACTACCGCTTGATCGTACTCACACCGGTTGCTTAGTCCAGACTTCTCATTCCAGTCCAAATCTGAGTGAATTAAAGGAGATGGTGAACATCATATTGGTTAACATTTTGACTCGCTAAGATAACCGCGGTTTGAGAGACTATTATTACTGATACTTGGTGATGATTAGAGGTGAAATAAAATTTGAATTGGGATAAGAAGTGCTGACTAGACAACCAGGGTGAATACGATCGAGCGACTGTAACGCCTTACGAATTCACATGGTGGTTGGGCATAACCCTTGGTGACTGAAGTGAAATAAAAGTCTAGTCAGCAGTAGTATGTTGTAGCTTGCTCAGTTAGTACAGCATCGGACCGGAAACCTGGTGGTTACCGGTTAGAATCCATCCGCGGCTACAGTTTTTATCTCACCTTCAATCATCACCCAGTAATAATGCTAGTTTGCCAAACCAAAGCTATCTTAGATAGTAAGAGTGATAAACATTACTCCTGAAAATTTTGAGAAAACATGCGCAGTCATGTGTGAAGATATCAGATTGGTTGAAGGGAAGTAATCAGTAGAGAATGGTCTTCTAGAAAGCCCTGGAGACCACTGTAAACATAAACATATATGCAGACTGTTATGTTCTGTGAATGTTTTGATGTCACAGTAAGCCTTCTGTTGTCTAGCTCCCTTTCTTGTTTACCGAAGAATGAAGAAACAATCAAGTACATAAGTAAGGTTACGAATCTGACAAAACGGATGGTTGATAACGTGCCTATCACAAGATCTAACTGGTCTTAATTTAATCGCATATGGAGTGTTGAGTGTATGCTCCTAAGGAGACCCAAATAGGATGAGACAGCTGTTTAGTGTTCTCAAGTTTTAATTTGTTCTCCGACTGACATCGATTGTTGATAAAAATCTTTTGCATAAGTGAGTATCTAATGTGATATACTTTCGTCTAACAAGTTGATCCTTACAATTACAGATCAGATGTCATTTATCGACATTAACCCAACTTACTGAAACACATATTGGATGAATAATCATTATTTTCAACCAGTTCCGAGTATTCATCAGCTTCTATGAAGTTGTCTCCTGATAATCATTTCAGTCACCCTCTTCATAAAATTGGAGATTCATATCTAAGTCCAAGTTACTTTATTTGTGAATAAACAATCTGGTTTATGTGTGTGTATACCTAAGTATTCCTATCAGTTAATAAGCTGGGTGTTTTCTTGAAGGGCTGATTCATTTATTGATAGTCTTAGATACCAACTGATTTTCTAATTCTAAGCACTTAATCCGATATATTCACTTCTCTGATTCAGTCAAAAAATTTAACTGTCATGGAGAGAGTCAGCTGAAGGTTCTGAGAATACTATCAACCATTTTGACTGAAGGATGGATATCTACTAACAAATTAAACCAACAGGTTCGATATTAAAATTTCTGTATGGGTTATCAAAAATAAACAACGCTGGCCTACCTCTTCTTTAGATCCCTATAATGTCCGGATCATTCTATCATATGATACTTTCTTATTTGATAGAGGGTGGAGCTGTACAGTAATGTGAAACAATATAGGGCGCCATATCAAATAAATAATTGTAATATGGAATTAAATTCTACCATAGCGCTCAAGTTTTATACATGTTAAAAGATCTCTCTGACATCCAGTTGAAAAATGGTTTCTCGTAAGAACACGAAGTTTTAAACTAACTTTAAAGGCCACTCTGGCAACTGTTAAAATAAGCCATCAGGTTTTGGTATCACGCATAGAGAGGTAGTTCTTCAGAAAACAGAGAAACCTAAATAGTTATCTCAACAGATGCTGAGGTGGAATTTAAAGTCACTCAAATTTTACTCACTTTCTATGTAACACTTTTCAATTGCTCAGCAGAAGGATTACTTTATTTACAGTACATATTGAATAATTTACAAAATGTTTTGTGTAACATGAGAAATAAAACAATCATAGGGAAGCACAACAATAAAAGAAAATTACTATTCGCTGTTTCGTTTAAATGGAGACATAATTAAACATTCGACCTCGGAATCTGAACAAATATTCTTCTTCTTCTCAATAGACAAAGCAACCACTTAATATAAATAATTAGTCCGAGAGGTGACAACAAAGCAACGTGAATTTGTCCTCACAAAGATAGAGATAGATACACAAGTAGCGGCTGAACGAACTATCAGAGTAACACAGACTCAAGCAGGCTAAGTCAGCTGCTACTGATGCAATGTTCTACACACCGATAGTACCAGATATGCATGCGAATTCACTTCGATCATCAAGCGGTTTACCCGACTGCTATGTGACTCCGTGATGTGTAACTGTCCACACTGCATTAGTACCATTCTACCAAATCATAATTATCTCAGATAATCACTCTCATCGATGACCAATACTAATCAGACCAAATATCAGTTAAAATCTATCCTACAAACTTCATCTTTCTACTTAATGTACTAGTGAGACCCGTAGTTGTTCACCAAATCTGGCATACACAATCTCCGAAGGCGATCAGATCCAGTTTCTTACAAAAACTTCAACGTATTCTATGATACATCAAGTCAACTTCATACACGATTCTTGACTGAATCATTTGATTGACCAAATCAATTTAGGCCTCCACTCCAACTCTCACTGGTGTAAGATGAATCACTACTCTGAAATGGATCTACAAATTATTATACAGTCCACGTTGACACTTCCTACAAATGAGACCTGTTGTCTGAACTAGCCAATCGAGCAGTCAACACTGATCTCCATTGCAAATCACATAATCGAGATCATTCAATGTGTGATCGTTGACCATGAGGTGAAGACACTGATGAATACATGTTTATGCCATCGTGGAAGGATTAGCAGTGAAATGGAATGTAGAGAAAGCAGCTAAATTAAGCGCAACAAGTCCTACATTCTTGAAGTAATAACACACAAGAACGTTACTCAAGTAACCAATTACATGAGTGGAAAATATTCAGTATAACATGAATGGAGTGACATTCTTAATGGCACGGACGGTGAAATCACTGACATGTTGAGGATATGTAACATGCAAAATTGGGGAGACATAGACTGGAAGTAGGTGATCTGATACCCTCCTCGGAAGAGACCGATTGCCTACAACAAGTCTCAATATGGACGAAACTTGTGTACTGCGGTTCCCTTACTGGGACTGACACGTAATCTCACCTTCTTCACAACTTCTAGGAGAAGCTAACTTTACTTGTGACTACTGTCTCTCTAACCAAGGATCAACATCATCTAGAAGGATAAGCAGCATACCATCTGTTTATCAACATGGATTCTCAGTCATAGCTGAGATTGAACTTGTGCCTTTCAAGTACCTCAGGGAACATACTGCCATTCAGTCAGAATATCAGAAAGTCAGTGGAGTTGAAAACACTGCATCCTTGAAATCTCACCAGATGGTTGAAGG